GCAGTTGTGATAATATTAACAAGCATAATGATTAGACATGCGTCGAGATTGGCAAATTATAAATAAACCTCCAAGCTTTTAGTATGAGAATGATGATTATTACATGGCAATCCATGATTTGCAAGCACGTTTAAAACAACAATGAACGCATAAGCAAATGCTGTGTAACTCTACCTGGAGACCTTCCTCTCCATCCGGAAATTTGGAAGTAGTTTTTGTTTTCTTCTTTTTCTTGGTCTTATTGCCGATTTTGGTTTTCGCCTTTCTGCGAACTGGCGGCTCAGCCGGCGGTTCGACACCGCTCTCGTCGATGTTGCCTTTGTTACCCTCGGCGCCAGGAGGCTCCTCCGCATCAGCCAACATCTGCTCAAATTCCATATCAGAATCTGCCGCCGAGCCTGCCGCGCTACCTTCCGCTTCCTCGTCCTAAGTAAAATTCAATAATAATTGAATATTTATATGTAAAGTTAATGTTGCGCAGAAATTAATTCAAACATATCTCATACATACTGAGCTTCCTCTTTTACGCTTTCCAAGCTTAATCTTAAGCGTCGGTACTTTCGATGCTTTTTTGCCTTTTTTCACTCTCGAACTGCGAGATTTTTTCTTCTTATCGCTATCTTCGTCATCTTCTTCCTCGTCCTCGGCTTCCTGCATAGCGCCACTTCGATTCGCTCTAGCATTTCTACTATCGTCATCTACATTTGTGGACGAGACATCTGCGTCTGGTTGCGTATGTGGATTTAATTCAGAAAAATCGCGCCACTTTGCTGCCACTAACATCATAAGTTTCGACATTGGAACCTAATCATTCAAAACAGAAATTGTTATTAAAATAAACATACTACCATCTATAAATTGAATAATTATCATACTAAATGCAAAATGTGCAATTATAAAGCATAAAGAATAGAACAATATATATACTTTTGGATTTTCTTTCGCTAAGAGTGGTCTGACGTGTTGTTGGAACAGTTTGTATGTTGTCAAATTTTGGAAATCAGCATCAGAATACTCAATTTGTACATCTGTTAAGCCAAAAGTGTTGCACACTTCTTCGATTGTGGGCATGCCTGTTGTTGGCTCTTGGCTTTGAGTGGTCGGTGCACTATGGCTAGAAGATTTACGGGATGATGACTTTCTGCTTTTTCTATTGACTGCATAGTCGCTATCCTCGCCAGCTGCATCGCCTGCTTCACCGCCACCAAAGTCGCTCTCCTAAAATTTCAACAATATTAGATAATGTAAACATTATCTTTGCTAAATAATTTTTTAAAACAATAATATGCAATCTTATATGAAAAAATATATAAAAGTATATATCAAATATATTTACATCTCCAGAATCAGATTTTTTCTTTTTCTTCTTCTTCTTTCCCTTCTTATCTTCACTACGTGCTTTCCGTTTCTTTCCTTTCTTCTTTTTTCGCTCTTCTGGTTCATAATCATCATCTTCTTCCTATACAGAATAATTTTCATTTATAATTTTAGACACTGAGTTTAAAATATTTAAATTATCCTTCAAAAATCATAATTATTACAAGAATAAAAAATAACAATTTTTATTATATTACTTCTGATTATAAGTTGTAAGTAATATTACTATTATACATTAACATATGCTTAATTTGTTACAAAATATAAAACTTACTAATCTTTGAGATTCTTCAGCATCAGACGAACCATCTACTTGCTGGCCAACATTTGATATCTGCGCTCCAGTCTCATCCATGTCATCCTCTCCTAAAAACATGCATTTATTTCCAAATTTGTTTTTATAATAGAAAATTTTCTTAAATTTTAAATACTTTAAATAATATTGTTGTTTTCATAGAATTTGCAATTGTAAAATAACGTATTATAAAAATAGAGAAGTTGATATATAAAACATTTTTTCAAAGAACAGCATTATACGTGTACTAATATATATAGAGAAAAAATTATATTTTTGTTACAAAAACAGCAATAAGATTTCTCTTTTTATAAATATGACAACTCTTTTCTACTAATAAATTCTATGTCCTGAATACTTTATATATGTAATAATCTTGAATTTTATAAGCGAATTAATAGATTTTTCAATTATATTGAATGTAATAATTTGAGAAAATAAAAAATAATCAAAGAAATGTAAATTCGATGAAACCTCTAATTTATCACTGAGAAAAATTCGACTTGCAAAGATATTTAATAATGGCCGAATCAATCGCGCTCTATAGCACAATATAGGTACGCGGCGTATCTTTAATAATATGCACGGTGATAAAAATTCCGGGAAAGCAACGAAAGGACCGAGAGGAGAAAACGGAGGGAAAAAAGGAGAACGCGCCGAACGTAAAATCCATGATCGGCGAAGCCGAAAGAGAGACTCACGCGAACGCCAAAGTGATTTTGAATTAATCAACGTTCCGCAAATGCTTTGTGCGAGAGTGTGCGTCCGCCATTTTCTTTAATATAGGCATACATATTACATTTGACACACAGGCAAGAACCACACACACACACACACGATACTCGCGCGCGCGCGTTTATGTGGTGTCACACGCACACGTTAAGATTCTTAATTTGTCAAAATTTTCATTAACCAAGGACGATTAATCGCGACCGCGTAAAACCCGCGGCGAATTTTTACCGAAGCGGTGGAGGTTAGACGCCGGTTGTGTCACTTATGTGCGTGTGTCTCACACACATGCATGAACCACGCGCGCGCAATATATATGTATGTGTGTGTGAAACGCGGATCCATAACTTTTTTTGCGCGAACGCGTATTACATACGTTGTAACATGGCGTAAATGTAATTACGCTTCGTCGAATTGGGCTCGGATATAATTACTGGAGAAGGAAATCGAGCTTTTTTCCTCTGCAGGCGCAATGTATCATTATAATATTCATCGACATTTAATGAGCGTTTCCAGCGTTTCAATTAGAGGAAAAAAGCAGAAGCTATTTCAAGTTATCTGTCGGTTATTATCTCGAATAAAGCGTCCGCGCAACCATGTCAGATTTGCAAATCGACCATGGCTGCGTTCGATTTCCCTTCAATTCTTAATTACTCGGAATTTATTTACGATCGCGTGAATATATATATCGAATAAAACACTGCGAATGAGAGACGCGACTGTCGAAGTAGCGACAAAAATCAAAGTAGAGAAACAATCTTGGTCGGAGCGCGTAATCACTTTTATATCACATTCGTAAACGATAAATATTCCATCATCTCTCTCTCGCGGAGGAGACTCGGCCGCGTCGTCGCGAGGTTTGACAATCGAAAGAAGGTTAGCGGCGCGTGTCTCTCCTCGTCTCCCTCTCGCGTTCGCGCGCATTCGCGCTCTCGACGATTCCGTTCTCCACCGGAACCGGGAACCTAGCGCGTCGGCCGATTTAGATGCATCGGCAGCCATTGATGTACCGAAAAGCGCGCGTCCCGCGTTGTATACTATTCGTCGCACACCGTCCGGCTCGCGCGATTGTCCCGATGCCATTCTCGATTCTCGCAGCTACGTCTCTTTGTCTGTCCGTCTGTCTGCTACTTGTGTCTCTCTCGCATACATATACACACACTCGCGCGCGCGCGCGCGCGCTCTCTCTCTCTCTCTCACCTGCGTAGCTTTCGTCCACCTCCTCGTCCGACGCCATTCCTCGGCGAGCACGCTTTTCGGCACCGACGACAAAGCACGAACACTATACCACGACGACGACGAGGATGGCGATCGTCGCTTCGCACGGTGCTCGCGATCTGCTCGACGACGTCGACGAGCACCAAGAAGCGAGCCGCTTCTTCCTCTCGTCCCACCACTTCTACTTTCACTTCACTTTTTCTCACGACGAAGCACTACAGAGATACTCCGTTGTGTGCGAAATCCAAGATTTCGGCTTTGCCTCGATGTGTACAGGTATCCATGCACAAGATACGAGTCTTTCCGCTACTACCGTTCCACTACCGTCACCGCCGATTCGTCGTTTCTTTTCGTTCTCCCCCCACTCCGTCGCGCTTTTCCCTCCTTTTCTCGCCCGCACTTTTTCTCTCTCGCGCACCTTTTCTGCGCATCGCGAATTTGCACGCGTCTCTTTAACAAAAAAAAAGATTAAATAAAAGAATTAATGCATCTCTGTTCTTTCGTTTTCGCTGTCAATCGTAATCCATAGTATCGATACATCGAATCGTTTCCCTTTATCTTTAAATTATTCGTAGTTAGGTTTTATAATATTACCGTTTTTCCGATATGCGCTTCAAGTCTCGGAAAATCGATCAAAATATGATTAATTTTATTTTTTTCCATATTTAAAATATACATAAAATATATGCATGATATATATTTAACAGAGACCTGAATAATATGTATGATATAGATGGACTTGCGAATTGTAAACACATTATATTCGTTCATAAATATATAAAATATAGAGATGAGCATTAGCTGTCGATATGGAAACTAATGAAATATCCTAAAATAGAAACTAACGAATCACGATTCGGAAGCCATATTGTTGTAGTTCAATTTATTATCTATGCGTTTAGTTATTTTCCTCGTATTTTTTTATATCGTCCTATACATTTTTTACCGACTGCGCCATCATTGGATGAAACAGGAAAGAGAAAAAGTAGAGAAGAAACGGAGAGAAAATATAATTTGAAAAATTTGCTGTGTAATTCAGGAAATACAATAATTAAATTAAAAAATAATACGTATATTATATAAAGCCTAAATTATTTTTTAATCTTTGAATTTCAAGCTTCAAGACGCGACTAGCTTACAATATTTAATCACAGATGGCAACGTGATTGCGCAAATTCTAAAGTCACTAGATTAACAAAGTACCGCAATTTTGATCTCAATAAGATAAGATGGAGCAAAAATGGCGAGTTGTTTGTTTAATAGATTTTAAAAATGGCTTGTCGTATGCTACATATTTAGAGTTGTAAATAATTTGATAAAAAATGTTTAATCTGTAAACAATGGTAACGCAAATGAAATATATCATTGTCTCTAAATCATTATATGTAATTAACATATAATGTGTATTTAAAATTAATTTATCAATTTAACTCTAATAAAATTATGAAATTTTTTTCAGGTATATTATTGTTTAATATTGTTTAATTTATTGCTTGTCAGTCATTCACATTTATTAAAAATAATCACTTTATTAAATAATGTGAGAAACTCTATATTTTTTTTTGCGAATATTAAGTAGAACTTTTATGGATATAGCATTTTGATAATAGTTTATATTTACAGTAGAAAATAATTTGTATTTCACTGTGCTTTTGTTCTATAGGACCTAAAGATGAATTATGAAAGGATGTGACAAGTATCAGTAGTGCAGGAAGATGCAGAGGTAGAGCAAGACGAGTAATGAAAAGAGAGAGCTCCTAAGTAAGGAGCAAATTATTGGCATGGGAAAAATTCCGATACAATTTCCTGGTCTAAACACTCCTGTGTTTAGAGGAAAAGAATTAATTCAACAGCAAAAACTGCTTGTAAATCTTGAAAGAAAGCAAAAACTTATGGAATTACCACAAAGTCAGACCAGATCAATGCAAATAAAATTATCGCCATTGGAATGTGGTTGGACGAGTGTTACAATGGATGACAGAAGCATTGAATTTTATTAGATCTTATTGGAAAAGGTTAATATTTATGCTATTATTGGATTATAATGGTTAAATCACACACATACAAAAATCATGTGATACAATGTCTATTTTCAATTTTTTTTTTGATGTTTCAGTTCTAAATATTAGAATCTTATATAATTAATATCTTTGTTTTCTGCAGATACATTTGAAAGTTTTGAAACCTGGATTTTGGAAAACAAAATGATAACTTGTATGACCGGTAATTTAGCACGTAAGATCAGTTCATTTATAGTAACTGGAAATGGAAATGGATTAGACATAAAGCTAAAAAAAAACGTGGATTGTGTCGATTAATTAATTAATTGTTTTATTTAATTATCAATTTATATATGTATATTATTAACAATAATTTTTTGTTTACTTAAACTGTATAAGGTTGTACATAAGAAACAATCTTTTTTATTTAGTATTTCAAGCATATTTTCATAGAACTTTAATTTAATTATTATATTATTAAAAATATTGAACAAAATAAAGAATTAAAGCTGGCTTTTTTTGCAGTCTCATGGCAGAAATCATACTTTAATTATTGCAATATATCATGAAACAAATCAATCTCAAAATAATGGAAATATTTGCAGAAATATCAAATATGTAATGTAAATATTTTAATTTTTTTGTATGCGATATATTTTTTATTCTATTTTTGTATGCGATCTATTTTTTATTCTATCGATGTTTTCATAGTGATGAGCACCTTGAGCACTTTGCTTCATATGTTTGCAATAAAAATATATTAAAGCAAATTATTTTGCAAATTTATTATTCTAATTTTTATTTAGAAAGACTAAGATTAAAAAAGACGTATGCATTTTTTTCAGACATTTCTACTGAAAAAAACGCATCAGATAAAACTTTCCTGTACATTTTAAATGTGCCAAAAGATTTGCTCTTTATTCCACTTACTGCAATAATGTACACTAAAAATGACAGATCTATATTAAAAATGATAGATTAGTAGTATATTTAGTAGTTGGAAAGAAAGAGAGCAGAAATGAAAAGTGTATCTAGAGAATTTAAAAAAACAAATGTAAAAATAATACATAAAGATTAATATTATGTATTTTTTTCATGAGGAATGTGGAGCGCACATTTATGCATTTATTTATTTAGATGAGATTTACTTTAGAGCACATTCAGTATTCAACTTTAATTTTATTTTCTCTTTCTTATGATATATAAATATAACATAATTACCTGCAAATGCTATCATTTTTGTGTGCTTACAGTGATACAGAAGCAACATTACAAGTACTATATTTACAGATAACATGTATAATAAAAAAAGCACCAAACATCTAATGATGAAAAAAGGATAAATATTGTAGACCAGCATAAGTATCAACCAATTATTCCACCGCTCTGTTTCATTAGAGTTGCAATTTTCTTTTATATCATAAATATTATAAATAAGATAAAGATTTCTGTACGTTTCAAATAAATTTATATATTTTATGTAATACTGTGCACATATATTAAAAGGTGATAATATCGCAGTTATAATAAGATACAATCCTGGCAATGTAGTGATTTTTGGATCCTACTTAAAATAATTTAATTTGATTTATTTTTGAGAAATGCGTACAATACTTGAGAACAAATTATTTTTGTGCCATGTATTACCTGTGTAAAATTCCACACACAGTATCATATTGTCTGTGATATATGAAAAGCTTCATCGATGAGACATGATTGAGATATAAGAAAAGTAATATAGTACTTGTAATGAATAACGTTAATGTGGAATATATAAATATTTTATATTTTAATTTCATATAATCAAGATGAGATAAGATACTCATGATTACTTTAAAAATGTGTCCACAAATATCATGTAACTTCAATAGCTGCACATTCGTCAAATTAATCCTATTACGTTAAATGAATCACAGCAGCTTGTTTTAATTTAATCTAACCTAACCAATTATATTATATGCTCCTCATTAAAATGTGTAAAACTGTACGTCGCACATTTAATACGATTAATATACTACGTAATAAAATGTAATACACTAATGAAATAATTAAATATTATTTTTGAAAGCATGATAAAATCCAGGCAGCATACGCTTGTGTTTACATTAGACATCCAAAGACACTGAGAGGTTAGGTTAGGTTAGATTAGGTTAGATCAAACAAATTTATCGTTTAACAGTTGGCAGCCCTACAAAATAAATTTGAAATCGCTCCTAGCATAACCATCTTCACGCGATCGACTTTATTTGAATTGCACCGAATCGAATTATGATGCGGCGCCGATTTGTCCGAATGTAATTCGGGACATCGCGATGCTATAAGCGTGCATATAAGCGTCGAATGAGCACGAATTGTGCACGCAAATATGATAAATCAAATCTACGCACCGGCTGTTCCACAGGCCGCTCCACTCGCTCGCCTCGGGACGACCCATTCCGATCTTGATGCACACGATATCATCAACGCGAACGCGCGATACTTTATTCGACACTCCCGATATTCGCTCGCATCCGATAATCATCATCAAGAGCGCGAATAACGCGACGCAACTTCGCTCCATCTTCGCGATCGCGCTATGACTGAACTATCAAAAATAGCTGTCGCGCACTTTCACTGACATATTATGAAAGTCGCGCGATCATCCTTGGACACTCTCGACGCTCGTTCACTCGCGATATTCGTTTAAAAACGGTTAAAAGACGCGAAAAATGCAGATGTACGACGATCCGTGTAACTGCGTATAACTCCGATTCACGTATGACGCGTATGACGTAGCAGTCACGCGCCAACATGGCGGCCAAACCACTGCGCATTCGTTTCTGCGCATGACCATTCCTGTGTTCAACGTTCGCGCAACTTTGATTTCTGAATATTGTCTACGGCTTTAATTAATAGCACATAATGATAAATATATAAAGATGGAATCAATTAATCATATTGGTCATATATGTAGACTTGCCCGAAGAAATAGAGAAAAAATTGAGAGATATTTTTAATTTCTTTTTCTTTTAGTAAAGGATGGAAATGTCTATTCATAGGCTTGTTCTTTTTTTCCTCTTTCGCGCAATTTCGATTCAATATATAACGTAGAAAATTCATAGTATATTATGCTAATGATATGAATTACGAATGATTCGATTGTTTTATCGCGCTTTTCCAAAGTCAAATCTTATAATATTTACTTTTGCATTTTAAAAGACTGAGAGCGAACTAAATAAATAAATAAATAAATAAATAAATAAATAAATAAATGATGTTGAGAAAAAGAAAAAGAAGACTCATAAATAAATAAATATATAAATATATAATAAAGATTGAGATTAATATATACATATATATCATACGAACTTGTACGATCTCAAAATCTTTATCTTTTATTCCGTTACTCGAATATTTGTACGTTAACAGATTTAGGTTACACACATAAAGCTTTGATATTTTGCAATCTTACCTCATCTCAATTTGGAGAAGCACGTGCATTCCTTTCGATAAATGTCCGCACAAAAATACATCGTGCTTCAAATAAATAAAAGTCACTCGATACTGTGCACGATTCTAATCGTACGAAATATATTCGACGATTTTTTTTGGATCACTGTATTAACGGAACGTGCAATCAGGACGATTCGAAAACGATGCATATACAGAGTTTGAAGAGATATCCAATGCACGACAAATTATACTTGCGTTGATTAGTATTCATCAACACCGAACTGTTAATCGCGAATACAACATTTTCACACATTTTTTTCGCAAAGAACGATATACGAAATACAATATTTCGCGCCTCGCGTTTCACACAATGCGGCAACTTTTTTGCTGTTTAGTATCGCCATCTGCATTCACGTCAAACGGCAGAATTACGTAGTCAGAATACTTTTCGACTGTCGATAAAGTCATTTTGTGCATGTCGGTAAATTGTTAGAATCACGTCGCGCAAGCATGATTTTTTTATTTGTAGTATAATAAAATTTGTAATTAAAAATTCATGTAAGAAACGTATTTTTAATCAAATTACACATACTTATTCCGTTACTCTAATACTTGTACGTTAACCGATTTAGGTTACACACATTGCATAAAGCTTCGATATTTTGCAATCTTACCTCATCTCAATTTGGAGAAGCACGTGCATTCCTTTCGATAAATGTCCGCACAAAAATACATCGCATTCATAATTCACTCTTATATTTAAGATTTTCTTAAGTAAGTTGGAAAATACAACTATTTTACTAACTGAACGGAATCTCAAGACGCGATCTAGATTACTTTAAATATATATATATATATATATATATATATATATATATATATATATGTACATAAATATATATGTATATGTATATACATAAATGTTTCGTGTCACGATAAATCTTGTAAAATCATTGATCTTTAATAGTATCTCGTCAGTGAAAAAAAATGCTTTCGAATGTTACACTTTATGTAACAAATTTTTTATATTGTTCTATTACAATTTTCATAACAGCAAAATATTTAATGCTTGATGCTTTATATGTATATATGTATAATACAATGTGCTAAATTATAAAGTGTAACATAATTAAAAAGTATTACTATTATTAGTCGACTTAATTGCAAGCTATTCCTAATTACTACACATGTTTATCCGATGCATCTTCTTCTTCAAATCTTTGCAATGTTGTGATCTGTCGCATTCTCAAGACTATAGGGACTCGTGCTTCTTTCTTCTTATCGTTTTATCATTCTTTTACTCTCTTCCATCTTATTCAAAATATATAATAATTATTAACTAAGTATTATAATATATTATAATATAATATAATTATTATATTAATAATTAATATGTATAATATATATTAATATATAATATATATTAATATATATTATACATATTAATAATGTATATATAAATTAATATATAATATATATTAATATATATATAATATATATTATAATTAATATATAATATATATTAATATATATTATACATATTAATAATGTATAATATAAATTAATATATAATATATATTAATATATATAATTAATTAATAATTATTAATATAATAATTATAATTACGGTACCTCTCTTAGTCTGACTCTTTCTCTTTGACCTATCCGGCATGGGTGACCCTACCAGTAATTAAGGCCGGTGTTTACACAGTCTTATATTTAAAATTGTTTTAAGTAAAATTTAGAAAATGTTTGTTATTTCATTGAGATTGAACAGAATTTTAAGATGCGATCTAAGATTATATTTAAAATGATTAAATATAAAAACAAATCATATGAATACCGGCCTACGTTACCGCCGGCATAGCTCTCCGGATCATTAGAGTACTCAAACCTCT